AGGAACCGGCAGGGGAACCCAAGTGTGAGGGACCCAGGACTGAGATCTCCACACCTGCTCAGATCGGGACTGGGCCTCCTCCACTCAGATCCCCCATCTTCTAGTAGCTAGACAGTTACACCCACCAACTGCCCCCAGAGCCATGTAATCCCATCAATGGCCACGACCCAGAGACTATAAAACCAAGCTCCCAGAAGACAACAACTCAGAGTGCCCCTGCGCCTAGCTGTCCTCACTGGAGCCCCTTGGAGGGAGGTGGGTTGAGTTTCCATCCCTACCTCGAGCAGAGCCCTGGCAGCTGAAGACCAGTTGAATTTAAATGCAATAATAAAAATATTCTCATGCATATATATCATAGAAAAAATTAAAGACACTGTTAAATTTATATTTTATCAAGATTTTTAATTAAAAAATAAAACTTACTTAAAGAGACAGTTATGACCCAAAAGAAGAGAGAGAGAACAAGGGGGAAATACCCTGCCACAGAGGCAGGATGGGACTGGGGGGGGAGGATGGGGGGGGTGCTGGGACCCGTGGGGATGGATGACGGGCACTGGTGGAGGGATGGGCACTTGATCATTGTATAACTGAAACCCAAGCACAAAATTTGTGGGCCTATAACTGTGCCTCATGGTTTTTCACTAATTAAAAAAGTAAAAAAAAAAGACAGTTATGAATATGTCAAAAATAAGGAGCTAAAACTTTTTAAAATGTGGAAAACAAAAAATATTGCCATATGTATTATTTAATTAAATAAGTAAATATTTCTTTAAGTAAATATTGGTTTCAAGTAAGAAAGCATAAAATCAATAGTACATGTGTTATATAGCAATAGATACTTGAAAAACAAATGGAAAATAAAAATTACTTAAACTTTATCAAAGATAGGGGAAAATAGTTTTCAGGCAGACTAGTATGTGTGTGAAAATCTGTGGAGGCAGGAAAGTGCCTAGTGGACATGAAGATAAATCCTGTGTGGTGGCGAGGTAGTGACCTCGGGATGAGTCGTGGAAATTGAAATTAAGCAATGGTGGATAAGGACTGGGAATAGTGAGTGTAGAACCTTAGAATGTACGGTGCAACGTTTTGATTCCATGGGGAATGAGAATACATAAAACTATGAAGGGAATAACATGAAATCAGTCAGAAGGATCATGAGAATCACAGATAGTGATACATCAATTTCCAGCAGGTATATACTATGAAGATGCCTAATTCCTTCCAATTTTTGAAGGATATATTCTAATTTGTTCAACCTTCTTTCCACATGGGCTCCTCATGTATACCCGTCAGTGAGTAAAAAAATCCTAGTCTTTTTTAATAGGCATTAAAAATGCTTGTTCAATGGGAAAAAAAGAGTCACATAATGAATAACAGACCTAGAAAATAGTGACTAGATTGTTTTCCAGTCAGGATATTTGTAGTCTGTATCTGGCGTGTGTTGGAGCTTGTAGGCAAACTCTGGGGATAGATAGGTCACTCACTGATGTCGTGTGCCTCACATAGAACTCTGGAGGACAATAGGTATCAGGCAAACAGGAGTCAGGGGAATGAGCAAAAGAGAAAGAAATGACTTGTGGAAAATCAACAGTGTGCCGTCATGAAAGCCTAAAAGTGGTCTTTCAGACACTCATTGTGATAGCTATCATGAAAGATGTCAAATGTAAGATTCAGACTTCCCGTGTGTATTTTAAACCTTTCTGTAAATTTTGTGTTAGCATAGAGGTTAGGACGTTTGCCTTGCATGCGGCCAACTCGGGTTCGATTCCTCTGCCCCTCTCAAAGAGCCCAGCAAGCTACAAAGAGTATCTCACCCGCTTGGCAAAGCCTGGCAAGCTACCCGTGACATATTCAATATGTCAAACACAGTAACAACAAGTCTCACAGTGGAGACATTACTGGGCCCGCTCAAGCAAATTGATGAACAACAGGAGGACAGATGTAAAACATTTGATGTAGCTCCTGGTAGACAGAAGCATTGAATATATATTAAATTATTTTTAATTTGGTTTCTTTGTTGTTTTGTTTGGGTCCTTGTAAAATGGTGAGATCCTGGTAGTGAATCCGTAATACAGCTCACGGAGGATCCTGATGTATTGAGTTTAAACACCCTGTTTGGCTAGGGCTTCGATGACCACTTAAGTCTCAACAGAATCAAAGGCCTTCTTTAAATGGATGAACGTTAGACAGAGCAACATCTTGAACTCTCACGAAACCTCAATAAGCTTGGTGACAGTATGGATACGGTAGATCGTGCTGAATCCTTTTCAGAACCCAGCTTACAGGCATAGTTGTTCTTCATCTAGTGTTCCGCCTATTCTATTCAGGATGACTTGAGTGAACAACTTGTAGACGACAGACAACAGGCAGATCAGGCAACAATTTCCAATGTCATGGATGCCTCCCTTCTTGTACAGTATAACGATCCTGCTGGTTTTCCACTGGGACAGAACTTTGCATTCAGACAGGTAGCATGTGAAGAGATGAGCCAGTGCATTGACGAGTACTGATGGCAGATTCTTCAGGCGTTTGGGTCTGACTTTGTCTGGGCCGGGTGCTGTTCACTTCTTTACCGACAAAATGGCATGTTGGATTTCACAAGGGAGAACATTGGGAACAACATCAATCCTTTAGAATTCGATATGTGGGCAGGTAGACATGGCTATCAAAGAGATCTGAGTAGAAGTCATGGATAATCTTCTTTATTGTCCTTCTGGAAGATGTGATAAATCCATCAGGGCGTTGGAGGGCAGTCATCTTCGTCTTATAGTTGGTGAAGGATAGGCGGGTGTTGCAAATGCTTTTCCTGGTTTCTGCCACACATGCCAGTACTGCTGCTCTTCTCTCTTTGAGGACTTCCTTTATCGCTTTTCTGCACTGCTTTGCAAGCTCGAGCGTTAGCTTGTAGTTGCCTGAGACTCACGCCCAGCCACGTTGGTGAATGTGTTCAAGAGTTTTTGAAGACAGGCATTTTTTTGTGGTTTTCTCTCCCTTGGTGTTCCTCACACAATCATGGAGGTGCTAAACCGGTTGATCCTATTCTTTGTCAGTGTCATCAATGATGGCATCTTCCCATGTTGCCACAATAGTGCCAAAGAGCTCCCAGTTGGTGGTAGTTCTGGGAGTTCTCTTCTTAAATTTTGAAGTCCTTTCTCCCTGCTCCATGAAGTAGAATTTTGGACAAACGAGGTGGTGGTCTGATCCTGTTTGGAATTTGGGGACAACAGTGACATCAGTCAGGCAAAACCATCAACTGAATATGATGTGGTCAAATTCTTTGTGGAACTGTCCATTGGGAGAGTCCCATGTCCAACATTTAGATTTGTCCTTTTGGAACTGTGAGTTAGCATGGATGGTCTTCGTCTATATGATGAACTCAAACAGTCTTTCACCCTGTTCATTCCATTCTAGGCCATGGGTCCTGATGTGGAATTCTTCGGCTGATCTTCTCGGTCCTATCTTGGCATTAATATCACTGACAATGATCTTGTAGAAGGTGTGATCTTCTTTATAGAACTTCTCCTGAATGTTCCGTTCACTCTCAATGGAACGAGCATCTCCAAATGCAGCAGTTATGTGTATCTATGTTGAGAATTCAACATGACGAATGACCTGGCACCTGAGTTGCACAGGAGGAAGAGAGCAGCATGGAACGCCTTCAAGAGTGTCGAAGAAATAGCTAAGAGGACCAAGACCATCCAGCTCTGGGTGCATTTCTTTGACTCCATTGTTCTTCCTGCATTAACATATGCCTCAGAGACCTGTGCCCTATGAAAACAGGATGAGAACATTATTCGGGTCTCCCAAAGAGGAATTGAGAGAGCTATGCTTGGAGTATCGTGCTTCACTCAAGTGAGAGAAAGAATCCGTAGTTCTGACCTCCATTGATGATCGAGAAACAGGGAAAACTTGTCTTGTTTGCCAAGCGTCAAAAATCAAATGGGCTGGACATATAATGCAATTTGGAGATGACCACTGGACTAGAGCCATTACCAACTGGATTCCATAGGACGTCAGAAGATCGCGTGGCCACCCACCTACGAGATGGTCAAACTTCTTCATCAAGACCCTGAATGAATGGTTTGGGGCTCTTTTGTTCCTGGAGTGAGCAGATGACATTGGGCTACACTAGCCTGCGACAGGGTCAAATGGAGATGTTCCTGGTGCCCACTTGAGCAAATTGATGAGTAATATGATGTTAAGTGATCAAATGATCAAGTAGTATTCTAACAAGATAAAATATTCAGGTTTCTTTCCAAGTCAAGGAACAATAACATGAATTAAACTCACTACAAAAAAACAAATTTCAGACATAGTAACTGTGTGAATACTCCTAGACTATGGGGCAAGAGACATAGTACAGCAGGTGGGTGCTTTCCTTGCTCACATCCAACCTGGGTTCAATTCCTGATACCCCATATGCCCCTGTCCCCAAGCAACACCAAGCATCATCCCTGAGTGCAGAGCCAGGACTAAGCCCTGAGCATCACCAGTTTCCCCCTTCCCTTCACCTTCGAAAGACAAACCAAACACTAAAACAAAGAACCTTCTAGACTTATACTACTTCACCGTAGTTCATTTCTATTGCCACAATTCTGTGACTGTTATATATGCACTACAGCTATGTTTGAGATTAAAAATAAGCCAAGATTTTTTACTTGCAATTCAGAGGTTTTAATATGTTGCCATTTAACAGTAAACCCTAGCATGTTAGCTTTCAAACTATTTTGAGCTTGATCCAATGTTAAAAATAGATTTTGTGTTGTATCCATACATCTACAAAAGAAACTAGTATCAACATGCCTACTCACTACTTGGAATAGTCTGATATTTTATATTCCTACTGTTCTCCTTTTAGTGTTGTTTGTTAACAACAACAAAATGCTAGCTGTTATCCACTAAATTAATTTCATAATTTACTGCTGGGCTTTCATGTGGTTTCAAAATCATTCATCTTGCAGCTCCTATGTTTAACAGTGTTATTATAAAGCTATACATACTTTGTTTGGGTCAGAACTCGAAGGAGAATCAGAAGAATGCTGCAAAATAAAAGAACAGGACTGTTATACATCACATATAAGGAGAAGCAAAAGAAGAGAAGCAAAGCAAAAGTTTGAATTGCGCTTTCTAGTCTAAGGCATTACCATAGACAAGGAATCCTGTAAGACCTTATCAATGGTAGCACAGAGCTCTTCAGTTTGCTGCCTGAGCTGTGCAGGAAAATAGAACTGGAAGAATTGAAACCAGGTACTGAGTTAGCAACGAGTTGAGGGATCACATTTAATAAGCAGGGATAATCTGACTTCATTACCTCCAATGGTGGGTCTTTGGAGATGCTTTCAGTTTGGGATGGTTTATCCAGTGCCTACAGAGAAGTCAAAGAGTTCCATGTAAGGTTTTTGTTAGTAGAAAATTCTCTTCCAATAAAGTCCTATACAATTCAGTATTTCCATGGTGGAGGAGATATTTGAATCATTTATTGTGCTATTCTCTGCCCTAGATGCATTTCTCACATTTGTCCAGTTTCTCCTTGTATTAATATCTGTACCATAAAATACTGGGCTGCAGAAAGGAAGCTTAGATTTTAAACACACAAACTAGAATTTAGGTATCTTAAAACAAGATGAATCTCATTCACTTCAAAATACACTGCAAAGCTACACACACATAGAAAAAAATTAAAATTATGCAACCAATCCTCAAAATACTATACAAAACAACTATTAGGGAAATGCTTTAGAGCAAGTTAAAAAGAAACATGCAGATACAAAAAAATCACCTCTTTTTAAATTTTTTATATTCAAAAAGCCTTGACTAATCTTTTCATTAGATTTTACCTCAAGTGACTCTTAAATACGTTCAAGATGAAATATATATATTTTATTGTAATCAATTTCAGATATATAGAGAAAAAATAATTCAGTTATTCCATTGCTCATAAGAAGTTAAATTCACACCTATGAAAATCACATATCAAAAAGAGAAGAAACTCATGATTATATTAAGTGTAGTAAGTGAAAAAACAATTACCAAATGCTTTCACTCTTATGGGAAATATTTATATTACAACAAACTATAAGAAACAATAAAAGTAATTTTAAATCCAATGAAAACTATGGAAATGGAAAGGGTAAAGGTAACGGAATAAGCAAAGGGGATGTTTTTGTAGTGGAATGGCACTGAAATTTTGGTGGTAGGAATACTGACAATTATACACACAAAAGTATGAAGCAAAACTCATAAATTCAAATATATTGCAAACCAGTAGCAAGTAAATGAAAATAAAAATATAGATGAAGAATTAAAAGAAAGAAATGCCAAACACCTTTAAAGACTTAAATACCGTAGGTTCTTAAAAACATTTAGAAACAGAGTTTTTGCATAGTTTACCTTCCACATATTAGTGAAAAGTGCAGTATTTTTGACATATTTCAATAACATAGTACTGCCTAGGTTCATACATGTTGTAACAATAGCAGCATTAATTTTTTTTACCCTGAATAAAAATTTATTGTGTGTCATATTTTCTTAATCTAATCATTCATTCATTGGAATTTATTTTGTCATCATATTTGGCTATTGAAAAACATTGCAATAAACATAAAGACATATATATATACATATTATAATTGGGCTGGAGCGATAGCACAGCGGGTAGGGCATTTGCCTTGCATGCAGCCAACACAGCCAACCCGAGTTCGATTCCTCCGCCCCTCTCAGAGAGCCCGGCAAGCTACGGAGAGTATCTCGCCTGCATGGCAGAACCTGGCAAGCTCCCCGTGACGTATTCGATATGTCAAACACAGTAACAACAAAGTCTCACGATGGAGACGTTACTGGGCCTGCACAAGCAAATCGATGAACAACGGGAGGACAGTAACAGTGATATATAATTATTGGGGAGGTTGTTTGCTTGAGGGGCTACTATAGACTTAATGCCTGGAGATTTTTCCCAGCAGTAATCTGGCCCTTCTTCATGTGCAGGGCGCATTCCATGCTTGGAGCCATCATTCTGGGCCCAATAAGTATCAGGAATTGAACATTTAGATCATAAGATCTCCCCATACTTATCTTTAGAACAGTACTCTTACAGCTGCTACAATGGCTGCCTCTGTTTACATTCTCAATAATCAAGTTCTAAAGTTCTGATTTCTCCACACCTTTGCCAGCCAGTTTCTTACCTTTAAAGATAAGCTATTCTCACAGGTGTGAGATAAGATTTCATTATTGTTTTGATTTCCCTGTTAATAAGTGATGGTGACTTTTTTTTTCATTCATGTTCCTATTCATGTAATGGGCTGGAGTGATGGCACAGCGGGTAGGGCATTTGCCTTGAATAAGCCAACATGGCTGACCCAAGTTCGATTCCTCCTCCCTTCTCGGAGAGCCTGGAAAGCTACTAAGAGTATCTCGCCTGCATGGCAAAGCCTGGCAAGCTACCCATGACATATTCAATATGCCAAACACAGTAACAACAAAGTCTCACTATGCAGACGTTACTGGGCCCGCTCGAGCAAATAGATGAACAATGGGAAGACAGTGACAGTCACAGGTTCATGTAATAAAGAATTATTGGGGAAAAAAAAAAAACAGTGATCCCAAAAAATATATTGAAAAATCGGACCACATTAAAACTGCTTCTGTATATTGTCAAAAGACAGGATGAAAGACAAAAGACCATCATGCTAAGTATTGACCACACAACACCACATATTATAGATAAAAAAAACATTGCAGCTAGATACTATGAAATTTGAGCATTTATTAATATCAACATGTCACATTTTTCTGATGTGCTGTTTTACATTAATTGGTATGAGTATACTGAATCACCTTTATAACCCTAGGATGAGTTACTTTTGATCATAATAAATTATTCTTTTAATATGCTGTTACATCTGATATGTCAAGGTTGTTTAGGATTTTTGGATCAACATTCATCAGTCTACAGTTTTCTTTTTATGTGCTTTTAAAATACATGTGAAGTAATTAGTTACTCTATTGATCTTATGGACTATGTTTAGAAGTTGTCTCTCCTTTTTTAACTTTTTATAATAATTTAAGTAGAATGGGTCTTATTTATTTCATAATTCACTGGTGAATCCATCTGGTCCTGAACTTCTGTTCTTAGCGTGTTTTCAGCTGCTTACTTAATTTCTTTGCTTGTTACTGATATGGTAAAGATTTTTATTTATTCCTGGTTGAATCTTGAAAGGTTATATGATTATAAAAAATGGACCACTTTTGGGACCTAAGCAAAAGTACAGCGGATAGGGCATTTGCCTTTCATGCAGCTGACCTGCATTTAATTCCTGGTGCCCCCTATATTTTGATTAAAGTATTTAGTCCATATAGGTTTAAAATAATTATTGAGAAGCATAGACTTATTTTGTCATTGTGCTCATTGTTTTCTGACTATTCTGACTGTCCTTTTTCTCTTTCCATCTTTTCCTTTTTAATTTGATGATTTTCTGCAGTGCTATGCTTGGCTTCATTTATACTTTGTATATAGTACAAATTTTTTACTTATTGGTTACCATGAGGTTTACGTAAAGCAGCTTAAATTTCAGGGCTGGGTTCATAATACTGTGGGCAGAAAGTTTTACTTGCAATGGGTTGACCAGGTTTGATCCCCAGCACCCCATATCGTTCTCTGAGCACTGTCAGAAGAGATCTCTGAGCACAGAGCCAGGAATAAGCCCTGAGCACTGCCAAGAGAGGCCCCAAGATTGGGGGTGCAGTGAGGAAAGCAACTTAAAATTAATAACAGTATATTTTAGGCTAACTAAATGTAAAAACAAATATATATATATATATATATATGTTTTTACATGTGTATTTGGGGGTGTACTCGTATGTGTAGCTTATTTCCAAAAACTTTACTTTTTTTTTCCTGCTTTTTGGGTCATACTCAGCAATGCTCAGGGGTTACTCCTGGCTCTGCACTCAGGAATTATTACTGGCGGTGCTTGAGGGACCATTTGAGATGCCAGGATCGAACCCAGGTCAGCCACGTGCCAGGCAAACACCCTACCCGCTGTACTATCACTCCGGCCCCCCAAAACTTTATATTTTTACATTCTTTCTCATCATCATATTTTATTTCTTAAGGCACATTATATCTTTTTATAGAATGAATGCACTAAAAAATATTGTAGGCATCAAATATTTTTTTTCTTTAATCATTAGGCTGGAGCTATAGTACAGCAGGTAGGGCATTTGCCCTGCATGCGGGCCAACCCGGGTTCGATTCTCAGCATCCTATATGGTCCCCTGAGCACCGCCAGGAGTAATTCCTGAGTGCAGAGCCAAGAGTAACCCCTGTGCATTGCCGGTGTAACCCAAATTTAAAAAAAACACATTATGCTAGGCTTATAAATTATTTCCTCATCACCATTACAACTTTACTTTCAAATTCAATCATACATGTGTCTTTACTATTTAGTTTTATATTTTCATGACTTTTGATGTAAACTAATTCAACTCTTATTAGCTGAAGGAGCTCCCTTTAACAGTTCTTGGAGGGTCTGTTGAATGATAATGATTTCTTTGGACTTTCACTTAACAAGAGCAATTTCTATTGTTCCTTTACTGTGTAGGACAACTTTGCTGGTCAGAAAGCTCTTGGTTGGAAATCTTTTCTTTTTTCCACTTTAAATATATCATCCTACTCCCTTCTGGCCTACAAAATATCTGCTGAAAAATCTGCTGATAGTCTTGTGGAAGTTAACTTGTGATAAGCTTTTTTTTTTTCTTGCTCTCTTTCTGATTAACTTTTGTCATTTTAATTACATTGTGTCCTAAATTGGGTCTCTTTTGTCTTGGTACATTTTAGGTTTCTGGATATGGATGTCTGCTTCTCTTTGCTCTTAATTTTTGGGAAGTTTTTACTCATTATTTCTTTTAAAATTTTTCTCTCTCCCTTTTAATAAAAACTGTGTGCATTGGTCCATTTGAGTATTCTATACATCCCTTAAACTATTGCCAGTTTTTGAAATTTCTTTTTGTTTTTCTACCTCTAATTGGATTAATTCCCCTCTCACTGAATTTGCTTACTATTTTTTCCTGCTTGATGTTGTTTAATGGTGAATCATTCTATTCAATATTTTAGATTGATTATTGTATTTTGCAGACTATGAATTCTTGTCATTTTTAAAACTGTATCTCTTTGCCAAAATTATCTTTTCCTCCATGCATTTGATTTTCTAATCTTGGTGGCCAAATTTAATTGTTTTTTTATAACTCTCTTGGGTAAATGACTTTTCTATATTTTCTTGTTTTATTTAAAGGCCAAACCCAGCATTGCTTAGAGCCTTTTCCTGACTCTGTGATCAGAGATCACTCCTTTCAGTGCTCTGGGGACCA